CGTCACTTGGGATGATTTGCTTTATGGTGTCCCAAGTCACCGGTTTATTTTAGAATCCCAAATCGAGGAAAATTCGACTTTCCTTTTGAAGTCTGCGAACCAGAAATTCTGAATAAGGAATTTCGTTAACCCGAGGGAAGGTGTTAGGCACCCCCGGATTCCGTGGTTCTAGCACTGTAACGACCCGGCCGGTTGTTTTGAGTTCTAGTGCTCCGTTCAGCAGCCTGAGGCCGTGAGCAGCTTCATTTCAGGTATTGTGACTTGTGCGCGTGGTCGGAATTGAATTTTGGGAAGTCCGGAGTTGATTTGGAAAGAGAATTCTCATTTCGGAAGCTTAAAGTTGAAAGAATGAACTAGGATGGGATTCTTGAGTAAACGACCTCGGAATCGGGATCTGAAGGTTCCAGCAGGTTCGTATGGTGATTTCGGACTTGGGCGTATGCCCGGTGCGGGTTTTGGATAACCCGGGAGCGTTTCGACGCCTATGGTGGAAGTTAGCATTTTTGAAGAAATTTCTTAAGTTTGGCTTGAAGTGCATTTTACTGTTATCGATGTCCGTTTGGGATTCCGAGTCTGAGAATAGCTCCGTATGGTGATTCTGGAGTTGGGAGCGCAATCGGAAGTGAATTCGGAGGTCCGTAGGTCATTTTGGAGCCATTTGGCTAAAGATAGAAATTTGAAGGTTTTTGAGAAGTTTGACCAGAGGTGGACTTTTTGATATCGGGGTCGGAATCCGATTCCGGAAGTTGCAGTAGGTCCGTAATGTCGAATATGACTTGTGCGCAGAATTTGAGGTCAATCGGACGTGATTTGACAGGTTTAAACATCAGAAATAGAAGTTTGAAATTTTGAAGTTCATTAAGTTTGGATTGGAGATCGATCCATGATTTTAGCGTTGTTTGATGCGATTTGAGGCCTCGAGCAAGTCCGTAATGTGTATTAGGATTAGTTGGTATGTTTGGTTGGGGTCCCGGGGGCCTCGGGTGGATTCCGGGTGGTTAACGGATCGAAATTGGGATTTTTGGACAGCTGAAGGATCTGGTTGCTGGTATTTTTGCTTCTGCGATGGGTTAACAGCAGAAGCGGCCCCGCAGAAGCGGAAAGGGAGCTGCAGAAGCGATTTTTGGTCAAAGGCTTGAGGCAGATGCGGTCAAGGTTTCGCAGAAGCAGGACCGCATCTGCGGAAAGGTGGTCGCGGAAGCGGAAGTGAGCGGCTTGGAGTGGACCGCAGATGCGGTTAGAGTTCCGCAGAAGCGGGACCGCATCTGCGGAAGGCATATCGCAGAAGCGAAAGAGGGTGGCCTAGGGAGGACCGCAAATGCAGCATTTTAACCGCACCTGTGGAACCGCAGAAGCGGTCAAGGGACCGCAGGTGCGGAAACAGCTGAGGCAGTGAGGTCTTTTAAAATTCGGGGTTGGGTTCATTTCAACCCCATTTTCTTCCATTGGAGTCGATGGGGAGCATCTTTGAGGTGCCATTTTCGTCACTCATCATGAGGTAAGTAATTTATGCTAGCTTTGAGTTAAATACAAAGTTTATACATGGATTTAGGCAAGGAAATTATGGAAAAATTTAGGTTTTGGTGGAAAACCTAGAAATTGGCATTTCTTCGAATTTGACCACGATATTGAGTATGGAATTTAGTGAAAATTATATATTTGAGTTCCTAAGGTCATGGGTAATCTTTATCTTCGAAAAATTTCGGATTCCGGGCACGTGGGCCCGAGGGCGGTTTGGGCAACTTTTCGATCGGGGTTAGGAATTGTTATAAATTGGATTGTAATGATTAATTGAGCATATATTAATGGATTTGTGTAACCGTTGGCTAGTTTTGGAGCGTGGTGCATCAACTAGAGTCTTCGGAAGGGCGTGGAATGCCGGTTATGGACCTTCGGAGCGAGGTGAGTCTACTTTCTAACCTTGTAAGAGGGAATTGTCCCCATAGGTGAAATAATTGATTATGTGCTCCTATTTGCGGGGGCTACATACGCACGAGGTGAGGAGAGTCCGTGCGTAGCTACTATTATGCCATTGTCCGGGTAGTTAGGACCCAAAAGCATGTTATACTTGAATTATTTATGAACCTATTGATAGCTTGAATTGCTTAAATCACCTTGGGTTAGTAAATGAATTTAAAAGGAGATTAAACATCATTTTTCCTGAATTGTTAAAAAGAGAAATCGTTTTATTTGGATAAATATTCCCGATTAAGTTCTTAATTGACTGATTGAGCATGTATCTCTATGTGTACCTGCGTCGCATGCATGATTCGCGAGCAGGGTATGTGTTTATTTATGGAACGGGNATGATTCGCGAGCAGGGTGTGTATTTATTTTATGTTGACCGCGTCGCAGGTTAGTTCGCGAGTGGGGTAATAGATGCATCTATAGGCGCGTCGTCGACTCTCGGCAAGTGCACAGTCTACATTTCTGTTGGATCCGGCCGTCGCCTCGGCATGATATGCGCATGCTTGTATTGTTTCCTTGAACTTAATTAATTTATTATTGCCTCTTCATGGCTTGAAATTATTTGGATAATTACGAAAAAGGAATTTTGGAAATTTTCTATAAAAGAATTAATTGTTTATTTTTTTCCTCCTATTTGGATAAAAATCATGCTTATAGAAATCCATAATTTAGTGTATTACTGACCTCACTATTGGACCATTAGTAAGTGTCGAAGTCGACCATCTCGTTCTACTTCTTCGAGGTTAGGCGGGATACTCATTGAGTACACGTTGTTTTCGTACTCATACTACACTTCTGTGCATTTTTGTTGCACAGGTATATGTAACCCTTGTGGCCTACTAGGTGTAGCAGCGCGGATGATTCTGGGACTAGGTGAGTTGCATTATTCGAGGCGACCCGCAGCTAGTATAGTCCCTTCCAGTGTATTGTATTTATTTCTTGTCCACTGTATTTCAGACGGATGTTGTATTTTATTTTCTTATCTGTAGATGCTCATGCACTTGTGACACCGGGTTCTGGGATGGTTTGAAGTATTTTGCATTGAACTGCATATTTTTTAAATCTGATTTGAGACAATTATCTTTTAAATTGCTAAATTTGAAGGAAAATCCTAGATTTTCAAAAGTAATAAAACGAGAATTGGATTAAGTAATTTGGTTGGCTTGCCTGACAGCAGTGTCCGACGCCATTATGACCCTTAGTGGATTTTGGGTCGTGACAAGCACGGTCGCTTAAACTATCATAATTGGCCTATTATATGATTTTAATACATGTTTTAGCCTATGGTAATTTTTTAAATTTATTAACCGCTTTTAATTAATTATAGGAAGATTCAACATTATCTAAAACACGTCTTGAACCACGTCACATGAAATGCACCCGCGGTCCATGACACGTTTTATCTAACGTTGTTGAGATTTGAATTTGGGTCACATGAAATGCACACCCGAGTTTAGGAAATTAATTTTTAAAATAGCGCGCCTAAAGCAACTACGCACTTTCAAGTTTGCGAGGGCCATGGAAAATTCAACTAAATGGCACACCTCGATTTCTAAGGATTAAAATTAATTAAGTGAGGGCCATGCGTTTTGAGATTTTGTTGTGGATGAAGTGTATGATTGTGATATTATTGGGCTCGACAAGGTTTATTTTGTGGCCCAGACTAATTGTCTCGTCAAACACTCCCCAAGCCCCTTTTTTCCGGCTCATCTGCTTATGCCAAAGTTTAGTCAAAACCCAACCCCTTTTAATTCAGAGTCATTCTAACGGCCCAAGTCCTTTTCCCTAAATCCCAAATCTTATTTTTCAATTAGCCAACTTGGTCCATCTTGTCTTTCAACAAAATTGATCAACTTTTACCAAATCATCATTGTATTAGAACTCGTCTGAACAGATCTTTCATATTCCAAACTAATTATAAAAATTCAATAAGTATTTTACAAACTACTTCATCAAAACAAAAGAAACAAGCAAACAAAATAAAATTCTAAATTCTAATACACTACTAGGCAGGCAGTAAATCAATGTGACCCAACATATAAACACAATCAATGAATCATGACATGAACACACTCATACATACAAGCAAAGCATGCTACGAAAAAGTATCAAAATAAAAGCTCACCTCAATAAGCAATGATTTTCTTCAGTAGTTGATTGAACAAACGGAAAAAAAAACTCCAGGTAAATACCTCGACAATACAGGTTGCTCGAAATTGAAAACGAAACCTTCGACTGGAACACCAAACGGGCGACCTCGACGGGCTCGACTCAAAACCTCGGCTAAGTTTGTGTGTGTTTCGTGATGTTTCGAGTTGTTGTTTCACGTGGTTTTGTAGCTGAGTTTACCGCTAGGTTCGAACTCGGCTTTCGCCGGACTCAATGGAGGGTCGTCGGAGTTACGAGATGAAGAAACTGCTGAAAATTTTCGATCCCACCCGTTTCTAGCTGCTCGGGTCTCTTTTTTTTTTTGATAAGAGGAAGATAATGCTTAGGGTCTCAATTTTTGTTCAAGAACAGTAGCTCATGGAGTCGTTGCTTTTTGCTTCAGAAGAAACTATTGATTTAGACTTAGGCTGTTTTTGCGGATGGTAGGCGTTAGGTCTATATTTTAGATGTAGGTACTATTATACAGGGGTAGGAATTAGGTTAGGGGTATGGGCCTAGGAATTATGGGCTTGGGAATTATGGGCTAGGTCCAAAATTAGGCCTAAAAATGGGTTGCTCGACCCCAAGTTTTATTCTTTCCCCGCGAACGGGACTAAAATACGACCTTATTTATTAATTAGTCCTACTTAAATAAAATAACTATTAAAATAAGACTGAACGTTAAAATAAACTATTTTTTGGTATTTTTCAAGATTAAAAATGACTACAAAATATTAACGGAATAATTTTTGTAATTTTCATTTTTTCTTGTAATAAAACGAAGTAAAAGAGTAAAAATTAGTTGAAATAGCTATATTAGGCCTAAATTAAATATTTACATGCTAAACTATGAAAAATATTGGGGAGGGTAAAAAATCACATGTCTACACCATCCTGAATACTCCTGCCTTGCTTGATTTCCCTGTTGCATTCTCCGCAGCCCATTTCCAGTGTTGGTCCCATGAGGTTGCCCAGATTAGTTGTCTCTGCATCCATTTTAGCAGTTTTGTCCAAACACTCTTAGCATACTCACATTCAATGAAGATATGCTTCCTGTTCTCATCATGCACTTTACACAGAATACATTCCCTATCCACCTGCATCCCCCATTTGTTCAATCTATCACTGGTTAGCATCCTATCTTGGAAGTTTAGCCACATTGTGAATTTAGCTTTTGCCCTTGCTTCATTTCCAAACATGAACATCTTCCATTCTACTCTTGGCAATTGCCCCATCATAGCCAAATATAGTTGTCTGATCATACTATTATTCTTCTGTAGTTGAATAAGAATTGTTTCTACTGAGCTTCTTGCCTCCACCATCTTTCTAACTACCCAGGAAGCCTGCTTTGGTATTGGCATATTAGACAGCTGTTGACCTTTTAAATAGTATGCATGTATCCATTTGATCCACATCTTATCACCCTTGTTAGCTAGATCCCAGTAGTTATTTGCTGCTGCTGCTTTATTCCATAGTTTTAGATTGATTAGATTCAGCTCCCCCCCCCCCCACCCCCCCAGCACTTTTGGGAGTATATATTTTATCCCATGCTACCAGAGATCTTCTTGTAATGACATTGACTCCTGACCACACATAGCTTCTGCAGTATGCTTCAATAGTCTTCAAGACCTTGCTAGGAATCAGAAACAGTTGAGACCAATAAGCCTGAATACCAAATAAGACAGATTGCACTAATTGAATTCTTCCAGCATATGAGAGCTTTTTTGCTGTCCATGAAGAAATTCTTGTCACCATCTTCTCAATAAGTGGTTGCCATTGGGCTATGGACATCTTTTTGGTGGTTAATGGAACTCCTAGGTACTTAACTGGCAATATACCTCTAGAGTAACCAAATTTTTCTACTATCTCTTCACTAGTCAACTGAGTAACACTTCCAAAGAAGATTGAACTCTTTTCTTGGTTGGCTTTCAAGCCTGAAGCTGCACAAAAATGATTAAGACAAAGTTGAAACTGAGTGATTGAGGTCATATCACCCCTTGCAAAAAGTAACAGATCATCTGCAAAACTCAGATGAGTTATGCCAAGCTTACTCCCCTTATATTTTATTCTCTAACAAGACAATTACTACAACAAATTGCTTAGTTGTTCCTATTAAATATCCCATCACCTTAAATCCTCAAATGGGATTACAACTCACAAAGGTCACGCAAACAAGCAGGGGTTAGTTGTTCACATTATCACATTATTTATCTACTAAATCTCTAGTTCACAAGTAACCTAATTTTGATTCAATCCTCTAGCAATTTCAGTGTATTAATTTCACTATAAAATGCCAGCCACCACATAAGTACAAACCACAAATTAAACAAAATGAGTAGAAAATTATCATTTTTTATAGCTATTTTTTTGGCAATTTATTCATCAGTGGAGGGACGTACTGCCTATCCACCTTGTTCACCTTGTAAATGTACTGGCAATGATTGTGCTGGAACTGGTTTATTTCCTAAAGGCTCTAAATTTGTGTGGCCAGAGTTAATAGGAATTAAAGAAAAGGATGCTGTGAACCAAGTTCTAAGTAGCAATTCAGTTGTTACACCAGTTGTTATTTACAATCAAGTTACAAACATAACTGATGATTGTTGTAATAGAGTTTGGATCCTTGTTGATCAACCAGGTGGTAATGGTCAGGTTGAAAATATTCCTACAGTTGGATAATTGTAGATTACGATTTAAAGACAGTGAGAATTTTTTAAGCGTAAAGCACAAATGATTTTACAACCCGCTTGTATGTGGCATTCGCCACTAAATAATAATTGAAATATTTCATAAAAAAAATTCCTTCGTCCGATATCTAAATATTTTACTAATTGAAATACTTAATAACTAGTATTATACAATTTTTCACTAGCACAAAGTATAAAATAACTCTACATATTCATATACTCTCATAAGAGTCCTTTCGAAAATTTCATTTCGATGCACCTTCTTGTGCTCATCCTTGAAAAAAACAAGCTTGAACAGAATATTTGAAGAGTTTAATTCTTTCATATATATACGTCATATTAAAAGGGTCTCTCCAGTGCACCATGACTAATTTAATTTGACGGGTTGAGTAGATCAAGGTTCGTAGGAAGGACGTGTACTTCAGTCTTAATTAAAAATAGAAGTTCATTATATTGAGTAAAATACAAAATTTTAATATTGCTTCATGCCTTCTAGAGCTATCAAAACGTGTCAGCCCAGCCAACCCAGTCCAAGCCTCACGGGCTTTTAAATTTGATGGTGTAGGGCAGGCCGGCCCGCCATCTAAATGGGCCTCAAAATGGCCAGTACAACCCATCCATACGAGGGTTGCAGGCTAGGGCGGGCTTGCCCTTCAATATTTTTTAGAAAAAAACTTTTTCAAATCTTTAAATATTTCTTTGTGACATAGTTTCTTAATCATATGGACGACCTCTGTTTGTTTAGAGCATACAAGAATCTTGATATTTGACAAGGAATCACCTAATTGAAATACAAACTCTCTATATCTCTAGCTCTTCTTTTTTAATGTTACATGAATATTTTTTCAATACTTTTCTTTACTTTCATCAGGCTCAGGAATTGCTTTAATAAGTTTGTATGTTGAGGTATTTAAATTTAGGTTTTAACATCATTTGTTGAATTCATCATTATAGTCCATAAAATTTTTAAAATTCATAAAATTTGCTAGTGTTGTCAATTTTCTTTGAGTATTAAAACTTGACCTTTTTTTCTATACTGAAGAGCAATTTTAATTATTATTAATATATTAAAGTAACCAAACTGATTATTGGTCACTTAAAATAATATTTTCCTTTGAAAAAAAAAATATTATTGGCCACTTAAAACTTTCCTAGTTCGTTGTTAATTAAGCAAAAGAAAAATTACATACTAAATGCATATCAAAAATCTAAATTCTAGCCGATATGCAAAGGTAAATGAGCAATCTAAGGTTGGGAATGAAGATTATAGTTGATAGTTTTTTTTTTTTGTTTTTACTTCTTCTTTTTTAATATTAAATATTTAAATTTGAATTTAATTAATTTTCGGTCCACGGGCCGACCCAGGTCCAGTCTCGATCAAGCCTCAAGGGCCAGCTGGTTGATTTGGGCGAGGCTTATAGGCCTCAGTTTCAGATGGGCTAAAAAAATCCCAACCCAACTCTATCGAAGTAGCGGGCTGGCCTCATGGGCCAAGCCCATTTTGACGGCTCTAACGCCGTCTATAAGTATTGACTATATTTCTATAACATTTTATGTACAAATTTGTATTATTGAAAGCAATCCTAATTCAACTTAGAGTTAAATGTAGAATATGAAACATAATTGCATGGCCTCGTTTGTGAAACGGAATTGGAAAATCTCCTATCATCAAGGAATTTATATCCTCTGTCCAATTATTCTGGTGCTATATAAGATAGTGACACTGACCACTAACACAAGCTTATATAGTGTAACCAAAGATAAAATTTTATTGGATATCAAATTACTATTGTTATGTCGAGAAAGAGGCAAACCCTAAAATAAAGAAGATAAAGAACACCAAATTTTAACGTGGAAAACCCTTCAAATCGAAGGTAAAAACCACGGGATCACAAAGATCCATAAAGCTCCACTATAAAAATAAGAGGGTTACAAAAGTTCTCCAAATTGGCTACACAATAAGGGCCAAACACGGAGCAACAATAGCAACAAGAGCAACAACTAATCAATTGAAAAAAGAGTATAATCCACAAAACGAAGCTGCTGTTTGAGGCTCGAAATCAGATGCTACGAGCCTCCAAATCCGATCTTCACCGTTCAAATCCAAGACCGAGATGTTACGAACACTCAGTCAAAATTTCAGCCCGATCCAACGGTTAACGAATCAAAAAATGTGATTTGAAGTTGGCTGGTCGGAATAAAAATCTGCAGCAAAACAAATACTTTTTTTCTCTCTTCTCTCTTGATGAAAGCTATATCAAAACCCACTCTTATGTGCTTAAGTCTTTCAAAGACTTGTATCAATGAGCATGGAATAATTCTCCAAGGTTGTCCTATTTATAGATCATGAGTGGTGCTTTCTCTTAAAGCCAAAACCCACTCAAAATAGGAATAAACCGAATCCAATTCCAAATAGGACCGGAAACCAAAAGAGAATAAGATTAGGCCATTGGGCCTTTGGCTGGACAACATGGGCATGTGCCCAACAAACTCCCCCTCCAGCCAAGGGGCCAAATGTGTCTTCAAGTAGAGGAACTATTGACAGGCTTCATGCCTGCCAATTTTCTACAAAATTCATGTTTATCTGCAACCACCGCCTTTGTCAGCATATCCGAAGGATTTTCATCAGTGTGTATCTTCTTAACCTCAAATAATTTCTCTTCCACGGCCATTTTTATCCAATGATACTTTCTATTTATATGTTTGGTCTTAGAATGAAAAGTGGAGTGCTTGGTGAGACAGATAGCACTCTGATTATCACAAAATAAGATGTACCGTGGCTGCTCAAAGCCAAGATCATTAATAAACTCCTTCATCCATAATAGTTCTTTGGCACCTTCTGTGACAGCAATATATTCGGCTTCTGTGGTGGATAGAGCTATGCACTTCTGTAGTCTAGATTGCCAAGAAACAGCTCCCCCACCAAAAGTGATCAAATAACCGGAAGTGGATCTTGAATTATCAAGATTGCCTCCTAAATCAGAGTCCGTGTTTAAGGAATTTCAGGCCTTAGCTGAGAGACAGACGGGGAAGAAATTAAAATATATTCGCACTGACAATGGTGGTGAATATTGTGGTCCCTTTGATAACTATTGCAAGGAACAAGGAATTCGTCATCAGAAAACTCCGCCCAAGACGCCTCAATTGAACGGTTTGGCAGAGAGGATGAATAGAACTCTAGTTGAGAGAGTTAGATGCTTACTTTCAGAGGCTAAACTTCCAAATACATTTTGGGCGGAAGCACTTAACATTGTTGCCTATGTTATCAATTTATCTCAAGTTGTTGCTTTGGATGGTGATGTCCCATACAGAGTTTGGTTTGCCAAAGATGTTTCTTATGATTACCTGAGAGTTTTTGGGTGTAAAGCTTGTGTGCATATTCCTAAAGATGAGAGATCGAAACTGGATGTCAAAACTAAGCAGTGCATCTTTATCGGTTATGGTCAAGATGAGTTTGGGTATCGTTTTTATGATCCAATTGATAATAAACTTATTAGAAGTCGTGATGCAATATTCTTTGAAGACCAAACTATTGAAGATATTGACAAAGCTGAGAAGATAGATTCTCAGAGTAATGAGAGCTTAGTTGATATTGATTCAGTTTCAATTGCTAAGGCACCTATTGCACATGAAGGAACCCAAGACAATGATGGAGATAGTGATCAAGATCAAAATGATCATCATGGTGTAGATGTTATGGATGCTCCAGTTGATGAAGTTGTGGTTGATCAGCTTGTTAGGACCGGAAAAAGTCAGGTGTCATGCGGAAGCTAGCAAAACAAATCTTGAACGATGATAAATCACACAACAAAGAGAAATATACCAAAAAGAGACACAAACATTTAACGTGGTTCGGTCAACTGACCTACGTCCACGGTGGAGATGAGCAATCCACTATAATAAAAGAGAGTACAAAATATCGAGAGCACAACCTCACGAAGAGGCAAACACAAGTGACACACTAACACTTGTCCCATAAAGTTCTCCCCCTAAACACGAGTCTCAAGCCCCTATGGCTACATCGTGGATGCTACTGAATGAGAAAAAAGTATCCTCAATTTATAAAAGTCCAAACATTTTCCTACAAGAAAAAGGACTAGCCAAATATTGGAGGTTTATGATTTCCTTTTACAAAAAGGAAAACCCAGTTAAGGTAATTATATTGCCATTTTCCTTCAAGAGATAGGAAAACCAAATATGGTAAGAAAATTATGGCAAATACCTAACAACCATTACATCGGGCTGATATATGTTGTGGTTCGTCTCATGGTTGGTTGGCTTATCAGTGTAATTTCCGAATTTATATCGGCCTTTTAAATCCTTTTACTGGTGAGATAATCAATCTTCCTCGTCTTAAATTTCATGCCTCTAAAGTTATTCTATCAAACAATCAAAATAGTTTTGAGGTCGTGGCTATGGGTTACGAGTGGCCCATGTATTATTTCGCTATCCTAAAACTTGGATTTTTACTCGTCCTCAAGATAGTAACCGTCTTTGTGATATGATACACCATGGTGGTAAATACTACACTGTGAATAACAGAGGCGTCGTTTCATCTATTGGCAAAACTACTTTAGAATCTGACAATTTAGTACAGGTTTGCGTACACATGTATAGTTAGCTGCACACAAAATTGTAGTACTGCATTTGAACTTTATTATTTTTCTTAGTATCGATAACTCTATTACTTTGTATAAGTCGGAATGTTTTATGGTGTTCTGTTGGAGAATTATCCATTTTAATAGATTAGAATGACCTCGGAATTCTTATTTCTACTAATGGTACTTCGAGGTTGGAACGAGAGTGAAGAAATTAACATACTTCTTTATCTTTTGAGTTTTCATGCTGACTGCTAGATCGGTCGCTCAAGATCTTTGGTTTTTATTCGGACCAAATGAAAAAAATGGAATCACTTCTTATGGACTCATTGAGAATAATTTTGACCTAGTTCATGCTCTATTAGAAGTAGAAGGCACTCTAGTGGGATCTTCACAGACACAAAAAGATCAAAGTCAGTTTAATGATTGTGTGACATCGCTTTTTCGGCCCCAGGGGCCAATGGAGCTTTGAGGTACCGAGTTCATCTTATTATTTATCTTTTTTATCTTAATTACTCTTATCAAAGTTTTTTTTTCTTGTAACAAGACCATTAATTATACAACGATGAACGATTGCTTAGTTGTTCAAATTAAATATCCCATCACGTTAAATCCTCCACCGGGTTTACAACATCATGCTATCGAGCACGGGTTAGTTATCTTTCAAATTAGTTATTTACATTTATTTACAATAAAACTCAAGTTGCCAAGTAATCAAATGTTGCTTCAATCCTCTTACAATTTCAGTGCATTAATAAGTGCACTATATAATGTCAACTACCACATAGTTGTCTTTGGGCAATTTATTCATCATTGGCACTGCCTATCCACCTTGTACACCTTGTAAGTATACTGGCAATTATATATTAAGAACAAATTTCCTTCGTTGGGTATCAATATAGCCCTGATATCTCTTAAGAGTACTTTAAAATTTTTATTTCCATGCACTTTCTTTGGCTAATTCCTAGTCCAACTCCTTTATTAAAAATGAGTGCATATAATAAGTAGGGGCGAAACCCAAGTTGGTTCAAGCGATTTCAGTTGAACCCGCTTCGTTAAAAAAATATCATTATTTTTATGGGAAAATTATTTTGCTAAGAAGCAGATTACGTACAAAACTAAAAAGCTGAACCCGCTTGATAGATACAAAGTCTTGGCATGATGGTTCGAGGGAGTTCATCTTTAGTTGCAGGTCAGAGCTTGAGTCCTCATTAATATTTTAAAAGTTCTCAATTCAAGGTATTGTACAATTTATTTGAACATAATATAATGATTTTCTTTTATTTTTTCTTCAAATATTCTTATGTTTAAATTTACACCTTTTTAATTGGCGGAATGCCTTCCTGGCCACTTAAACTTGTATCGGTTTGTAAAGCCGATACATCAACTTATATTTTTTCCATTTGAATACTTCAACTTGACGGAGTAAATATTAATAAACACATTTGACCATTGACCAAGCCTATGTGAAAGTGGCACAGCTGGCATGGCTAAATTGTGTGCAAATCACGCTACCAAAGCGCGTGAATAGTTTTATTTCTATTAAAAAATATTAGAAATAGAATAAAAATAAATAAGAAAGAAAAAAGAAAAAGAAAAAAAGATTTTTCTCTCTCCCCTACTCTTTTTCCCTCTCCTTCCACCTCTCTCATCTTCCCAAGCAAACCATTCCCATCCTGTAAATTTTTTTATTTTCTGATAGGGTTAAATGCGGTGGTTGAAGTCAGCTAGAGCTTCAGGAGTAATCCTACTGTGGTTAGGTTAGCTCCATTTCACAGAAGCTTCAGTGCATGACTACAATGGTGAGAAATTCGTGAGCAAAGGCAATGCATTTGTTGTCCACGACGGCAGCGAAGGAATTTACGCCTCTACTCCTAACTTCACTAATTCTTCTTTTCCTCTGACTCTTTCATTCGGTAATCACTCTCTCAAGAATGCAATTTATCCAGATCTGTATGAAAAAATTGTTAATTTCATATGCCAGCAAGGCTGGCCTTCAGTTGAATGAAGCACAAATAGCTTTGTAAGCTTTGGCTACTGATACTAATGGCTTCTTGGAGATAAAATTTCTGATCCTTTTTCTTTTATGTTTGGAGATGATAATGTTACTAATTTTGTATAATGTAACATCAATTTTTTTTTAAAAAAAATAATATAGGACCAAAAAATCCACATGTCATATAATAAAGACCAAACATGTGACATGGCATTCATGTCGGCGCGATTGGTAAACACGTTCAACAGAAAGTGCTTATTAGTATTCATTCCGTCAAGTTGAAGTGTTCAAATGAAAAAAATATAAGTTCATGTATCGGCTTTACAAACCGGTACAAGTTTAAGTGGCCAGAAAGCCATTACGCCTTTTTAATTTGAATGTTTCAAATATTTTGAGCTGTTTTACTTACCCATTCCTCGTTGTTCCTTCCTCACAGTTTCTTGTTTTATTATTTGTTAAATTCTTATACTGTTAAAATCTTTAATTTATGTTAGTTTTTAATCCGTTATATTGTTATTATTAGCACTGATTAGATTATAACAATAAATATTTTAGTGCTTGTTAATTTGTTAAATTTAATAAATGAGTAGATTAGTTAGTATTTTGGTATAGATTGAATTGATTTAGTGAAGTAAAATAAATTTTTTTAAAAATTGAAGTTTAATAAATGGTTATAATTTAAAAGGTACATATATAGATTTGTTGTTATTTTTTGTGTGTTTTGTAGAGCACGACCTCAAAAGAAAATAAAGAGTAGCGGGCAAACACTTTTTGAGGTTTGTTACGAACCCGCTTACGCAAAAGTGTGAGTCTGCCACTGACATAGAAGGACTAGTAGCCTGTTTGGCCAAGCTTCTTTTTGGCCAAAAGCACTTTTGGCCAAAAATTGAGGTGTTTGGCCAAGCTTTTGGAAGGAAAAAAAGTGTTTTTGAGTAGAAGCAGAAGCAGTTTTGGAGAAGCAGAAAAAAGTAGCTTCTCTCCAAAAGCACTTTTTTGAGAAGCACTTTTGAGAAAAATACACTTAGAAGCAATTTTTTAAAGCTTGGCCAAACACTAATTGCTGCTCAGAAGTGTTTTTCAAAAACTAATTAGCCAAACACAAACTGCTTCTCACCAAAAGTACTTTTGAAAAAAAACACTTCTCAAAATAAGCTGATTTTTGCAACTTGGCCAAACGGGCTATAGAATTCTGGCATATATGTCCAAGGAAAGTGATCACTTTAGGAGTCAAGCCACAAAGCTATGTGCCACTTCTGCTAATTAATCTTATTTTAAGATACTGTAATTGTTAACCAAATTCAACAACTAGCTGAAACGACAAACTAAAGGCAACAATTTTTAACTTTCCCTTGTGACTGATACTTTAACGTCCATCTATTAATGAACCTATATTTAAACTGCATAGCTTCAAACCATTCTAGCACACTACACAGTTCTAATTAACAAATCTCAACTTCATGGATTTCTCCAAATTTTTAATTTCAAGTTTTGCTTTTCAAGCCTTAACACTTTTTCTGTCACCAATCCAGGCAACACCTGGAAATTCCAATATATTTAGGGAATACATTGGAGCAGAGTTCAAGAATGTCAAGTTTAGTGAGGTCCCCGTTCACTCTAACGTCGAATTTCACTTCATTCTCTCCTTTGCCATTGACTACACTTCTTCTGCATCTCCCACCAACGGTCAATTCAACATTTTTTGGGACACACATAATCTCACCCCTTCTTCAGTTTCATCCATTAAAACCCAACATCCAAACGTAAAAGTAGCATTGAGCTTAGGAGGAGACAGCGTTGGAGGAAGCAGCGTCTATTTCAACCCTTCTTCTGTTGATTCTTGGGTTTCAAATGCAGTCTCTTCTCTTACTGATATAATTAAGCAATACAATTTGGATGGTATCGATATCGACTATGAACATTTTCAAGCTGATCCTAATACTTTTTCAGAGTGCATAGGCAGACTTATTACAACACTCAAGAATAATGGAGTCATTTCCTTTGCTTCAATAGCTCCATTTGATGATGATAAAGTTCAAAATCATTATCAGGCGCTATGGAAAAGCTATGGTCACATTATAGACTATGTTAATTTCCAATTTTACGCGTATGATGAGGGAACTACTGTGTCTCAATTCATGAACTATTTTGCTACACAAAGATCCAATTATGAAGGGGGAAAGATCTTGGCTAGTTTTATTAGTGATGGGAGTGGGGGATTATCTCCAGAAAATGGATTTTTCACAGCGTGTAGTGAGCTGAAAAGTGAAGGAGAGTTGGCTGGGATATTTGTGTGGAGTGCTGATGATTCGAAATCAAATGGTTTCAAATATGAGAAGCAGTCACAAGCATTACTGGCCATACCTCACTAATGCTTTACCCTTTGTACGACTCTTATATACAATATTGTATAATTGTCCTCTTTGTGTGTACATGATAATGAGTATTTGGTCTATAAATATTCTGAGACTCAATATCTGATACACAGACTGGTTAGCAACAAGTAAATTAACAGATAAACTCATTAATCAAAAGGAATTGGCATAAAATTGGTCAAATTGACAACTCAACAGTAAGAAAATAAGTAGTGCAATTTCATTAATTAAGCAATAATATTCTTGCAAAAACTAATCATATTTAGAACATAGTTACATTAAAGGTAAAACCAACATTAATTAATTCCAATCTCTAACCACCAAAACCATAGAGAGTACGGCCTTGCCTCTTGAGCGCGTAAACAACATCCATAGCAGTCACAGTCTTCCTCCTAGCGTGCTCAGTGTAAGTTACAGCATCACGAATCACATTCTCTAGAAAGATCTTGAGCACGCCACGTGTCTCCTCGTAGATAAGCCCACTGATACGCTTCACTCCTCCTCTACGAGCTAAACGCCTGATTGCTGGCTTTGTGATACCTTGGATGTTGTCGCGGAGGACTTTACGGTGTCGTTTTGCTCCTCCCTTTCCTAACCCTTTTCCTCCCTTTCCGCGTCCTGACATCTTCAAGTAACTTCAATTCTCTGTAAAAATCATTTCATTTATCAAAAATCAACAAATAGTAGCTGAATTTCTTAAAATCAAAATAACCGATCTCAAATATTAATTCTTTTACTGGAAATAGCCAGAAACTATACACTATCAGGATTAACTACTAAACAAAATTAAAAAGCTAATGTGAACAAATGAACACAGAGAGAGAGAAGGATAGATTGGCATACCAAATAACAATTGAAAGCTTAGGAGCTTGATTACTGAAGAGAGAGATGATAATGGGGATAGTGAGGCTATATGGTTGGGATATATAATGAGGGTGACGCTGGTGAGAGCTTCAATCTAAGTCGTGGTCACGTGGATTAATATTTGCCGTCGATGAAGATCTTTGACGGTTGAGATGAAATGTACTGAAAGTGACGAGGATTGATGACCTGGCACTCTGTGTTTGTTTCAATTGAGGATCCAAAATTTGAACACCTTCTCCTATTGTGGGGTGGTGGAAACTAGAAATATGGGCGGGACTGATTAGCGATTTACCGCCAAAGATGAATAGTTGAAAATGGGCCAGAAGCCACTGGGTTTATGGTTTGGGCCTACCACTCTGGTTCAGTCGGGTGAAATTCAAAAATAGCCAGATTTACTAGTAGTAATTGAAAATAGTCACAGTTTCAAAACTAATCAAATTTAGCTACTTTACATGTAAAGATAAATCTGAACAAAAATATTGTTCAAAATCCGGAAAATATTCCGGTATAATATACTGTTCTTCCAACATAATACATTTGACTTCCAACATAATATATTGAACTTCCAGCATAATACGCTGGAAGTTCATACACAAGTGCTCCAATCTCCAGTATAATATGCTAGAACTTTTCGTGTGTTGGCATTCAAGCATAATATGCTGGAAGTTCATACACAGGTGCACCAATCTCCAATATATTATGTTGAAACTTCCTGTGTTGCAGCAAAATAATGGCTATTTTTCATTGACTTTGCAAATGCTAGCTATTTTTCAATTACCCGTCCAAAAACTGGCTAGTCCGTGCTATTTTCACAATTCAGTCTTCTCGGTGATAGCCCAAAATTGTAATCCCAAATTTATGTTCTAAAATATTTTCCACCGGACGAGATTTGCAGTTATTGTGTAATGTTGTAAATATCTTCATACCACTTGTCAAAAAAAAAAAAAAAAAAAAAAAAAAAAAAAAAAAAAACCTCCAATGCACCAGCAGAAAATACTGTCAACATATAATTGAACACAATCCAACACTTTGATGGGAATTTAAGTAAAAATTGCGTGGAGTAACCACTTTTTAAAGTGGTATTTATTTTTTATCCAGCATTTTTAATGCTAAGCAAAATTAACCACTAGTCTATAAAAATTAATATGAAAAGACGATGTTACCCTTTCTTCTATCTCTTTTCTGATCTAAGCAGCCAACTAATCGTAATCTTCGTCAGAGTCATCTAAATCAAACTCAGAATCATCAGAAGGTTCATTATCAAAATCGGTGATAACATATGTTGTCTTCTTCACACGAGTTACCCTAGCTTTTGGAGCCACAACGGCTTCATTGACTTCATCCTCTAGACTGCCCTAATTTTTGTTTATTCCCTTATTGTGATTTTGGGTAAAAAATGCGTATTTTATTTGTGTTGCTATACTTTTTCTTTTTCTCTTTTTTTGAATGTGTAGAGTTCCTCAACTTAGAGTTCCAAGTTCAAAAGATAAGGACATGTAGTCCTCAACTTAGAGTTACAAGTTCAAAAGTTAAGGACGGGTAGTTTTAAATTTAAAGTTACAAGCTGAAAAACTAAGGACAAGTAATCCTTAACTTAGACTTACAAGCTCGTAAATTAAGGACAGCTAGTCCTGAACTTACAATAACAAGCTCATAATGTAAGGACATTTGGTCCTTAACTTAGAGTTACAAGCACAGAAATTAAGGACAGGTAGTCCTTAACTTAGAGTTACTAGCACAGAAATTAAGGAAAGGTAGTCCTGAACTTCGAGTTCCAAGTTCAAAAGTTAAGGACATGTAGTCCTAAACTTAAGGTTACAAGTTCAAAAGTTAAGGACAGGTAGTCCTAAACTTAGACTTACAAGCTTATAAATTAAAGACAGCTAGTCCTGAACTTACAGTAACAAGCTCATAAGTTAAGGACATTTGGTCCTGAACTTAGAGTTGGAAGTTCAAAAATTAAGGACACTTGCTCCTTAACTTAGAGTTACAAACACAGAAATTAAGAACAGGTAGTCCTTAACTTAGAGTTACAAGCACAGAAATTAAGGAAAGGTAGTCCTGAACTTCGAGTTCCAAGTTCAAAAGTTAAGGATATGTAGTCCTAAACTTAAAGTTACAAGTTCAAAAGTTAAGGATAAGTTAAGGACAGGTAGTCCTAAACTTAGACTTACAAGCTCATAAAATTAGGGACAACTAGTCCTGAACTTACAGTAACAAGCTCACAAGTTAAGGACACTTGGTCCTGAACTTTATGAGCAGAAGGGTATTTTCGTCCCGGCGGATAAAAGTTTATTAAAGCAGTGGCTAAAGATTAAAGATATTTTAAACAGCGGCTTAAAAATAAATACATGTCTTATTACTGGCTAACTGTGCACTTCCCCCTGGATTTAACTTAGATCTTTAGGCCAGATTAATCGGCCCTAGAATGGGCATTCAGTTATATACCTTAAGTTGGAGTGATTTTATGGTGTGCCTCACACAACTGACATTAGTTGTGTGAGACCTCTTTTTATCTCACATATTTGTGGACCCATATCTTACATATTTGGGTTCACAAAATTCTGGGACCACACAGTTGTGAGACAAAAAAAAGGCACAAAATAAAAAAAAAAATCTTAAGTGGAGTAACGTAATATTCATTTGACTGTAATGCCCTCTTGTGGAAAATATCAATGTGAAACTTACAACTGAACTACTCCCTTTGAGTTAAGCTGGAGAAACTCCTAGAAAATATGTAGTATGAAATAACTTATTCATAAATTGGTATGAAGAAACTGAAATCAAGAACACAGCCCTCTGGTAAATAATTCAGCAGTTGAATGAGGTAGAAACATAACAACGACAACATCATATGGAGCAACTTTTAAAGAAATTGAAGTGAAAATTAATTGATCAGATGCCTCACATAATCAAATAACTATGAACCCAACTGTGAAATAATGCGAGAGGTCGTATACCAGAATGAATTAAAAGTTAGCATACGTTCAGTTTTCAAGGCTCCCAAGACCGTCATCTAAATGACCAAAATATTAAGAATTCAGTCCTCTATACAGGCTGAACATTAGTTATAGAACTCGTGTTACATCTATGAGTAATAACATTGTCCGGGCATTTTGTTTACCCTAGAAATCGAGTAACAATTAAACTTGTAATATCTCTTTAAGGATACGTGATTTCACTTAATACCAATTGCTTAATTTAGAGATAAGTGATGGAATTGACAAGAATATAAAACAAACCGATATTTGGACAGTGTCCTCGAGCTGATGAACCCTCGAGAGTAGTAAAGCAAGAACAGTTAAAGAACAATAAATTGATGAAAAATAAAGAAATATTATATTGCTTTTATCAGTATGAGGGTAAGGTATCTACAAATGACGGGGACCCCTCTTTATATACTAGAGTAATCCTAATTGTGGGACAATTCTAATTACGGAAGTAAATCCCATGATCGATACAAATAACCGCCCTTGATTTGATCTGCTCCGAGATTTCCGTCGTGACCTCCGACCTGTTACGGATATTTCGCCTTTTCGTTATTGCATTTCACTCAAAGTCGGTCATACTCAGTCTCGATTGCTGCTGGCCTTGGTCTCGACGAACACTTCGATCTTTGGACTCGATGCCTCGTCTTCGAGCTCGAGTCTGATTCATTACGAGGTTACCCCCGATGCGGCTCCTTTGTTTCGATCGAATAGCAAAATCGGGTAGGTCCGATTTTGACCATATACAGATAGTCCCCTTGTTTCTTAGAGTGTAATGAGAAGAAATGAACTGAGTCTTAGATTTTGCACCTCGACCAATCATGATGTCACCCTCGTGACGTAAACGATGGAGGCGACTGAAACATCACGTCTGTACAGTTCTCAAGATCATTAATTGGTGCTAGTTGATGGACGACCACTAATGTCTTTGAACCGTCATAGCAAACATTATAAATAGACCCTCCTCATAATTTTTTCAAACTTTGCTTTCAAAACTTTTCTTAATCTTCAAAGCTGTCACACTTCCTTCAAGTTCCTCAATTCTGCAAACTATCTACATCCCGTTCGCCAATCCTCTCTTAAAACAACAAACTTCATCTTCTTCTTTTTTCTGAACTCATATAGACATGGCGAAAACATCTAAAATCGTTCCCCAAAAGGAAAAAGCCTCTTCATCGCGGCCGACCGGTGATAAAACGTCGGTGGAGCCACGCATCGAGGAGTGTGTTCCGGGGTCGTGCGATCTTACCTCCGATTTCAAGATCGAGAAACCATCGTCTGTCCCTGGCCAATGCGAGCCGATGTTGAGATACATATGCTCGATAACTGAGAGCGACCTGAAGCAGGTAAAAAAGGATTGTCGTTGGGAAGGCAAAGAGGTGGTGATCCCGACCCCTGGAGAGGACATCACCACTCACGTGAAAAGGTTCTTGAGTGTTTACACTTACCCTTTTACGTTGTGTCCCGTTGACCCCGTTATCCTTGATTTCTGCCGCCAATACCAAATAACCTTGGGCCAGATCCATCCTTCCTTCTGGAACATTGTTATTTTGCTCTGATTCTTCATGACCCAAGTCGAGGGGATGCCTTTTACCCTCGACCGCCTTATTAGAATATATAGCCCCATTCTCTATCGAGGAGGGTTGATAAGGCTTTAGCGCTGGGCCACCAAGGTGCTGTTCTCGAGCATAGATGAGGACAAGGACCGAGGATGGATGGGCCGGTTTGTCCGAGTGAGGACTTCCGACATAATTCCGGCCGAGAAGATGTCGTTCCCTTAAAAGTGGAACATGAAGCGTAAGCACGAACTCGCCTATAGATGTCGTCTATCGTTTTGTTTCTTGTCTTTTCGTATTGACATCCTTTCATATGATACAGCGGTTTCTTGGGCGCCCAGTGCAATCCCGGACCTTGAAGGCTGGGTTCGGAAGATGGCCTCGACCTCTTCATACTCTGAGCGCTATTGGCGTGATTTGGCCGATGGGAGGCCAAAAATCACGGTAAGCTTCTCTATAGTGTTTGATACCTTTCTGTGAAATGTGTCTTTCTTATATTTACTTGATTTCCTCCCATACAGGTCTCGGAGACAATGCTGCCATGAGG